GTAAGAAAACTGATAGCCAAACTAGTGCTGACTGGTTGTTGAACAGGCTTTATCTAACATTTTTGCCTTTTAAATGAGTTGCAGATAGCCTATGGAAGAGAATGTTGTCACTAAGAGCTGAGTGAAAAGGGAGTGATCTTTCCCGAGTTAAAAAAAAAAAAAAAACAACTCTCCTTCTCCATGTATTTAATTTGAAAACAACAAACTCCATGAAATTATAGAAAACAATAATTCTCTTTCAAATGAGAAGACAAATCTATCATGTTATAGCATGGTTTAGCAGAAAAAGCAATGGAGAATATTGGATTTGGAATCAGAGAAGCTGAGTTCAAATCCCAGGTTCTTGGGCAATAGTTCACTCCTTTAGATCTTAATTTCCTTATCTACAAAACTGATTAGAGAGAGATCGGACCAGATGATCTCTAAAGTCCTATATACCTCCAAATTCTATGACCTATAAATGCAATTTGAGATGACTTTTTCAGCACTCCCATATGAATAGCCCATTAGTAACATTCCATATCTATGATTCAGATTTCCAAATGCCTCCTCATAAAGATTACATAAAATTGCCTGCCTCAGTGACCTAACTTCCTGTTCTCGGTTCCTACCTGCTGTAAAATCAAAGCAGGGCACTCTGCTGACTCAGAGGTTACATAGATTCAGATGTTCATGGCTACCAGAACATTATATCCAATTATACAAGCCTTTCATGTTCAAGTGCTTTACAAACACCAACCAATTAAATGGCATTCAAGCTCTAGGTGCAATTTTCCTGGGCTTGTTATAAGCAATATGGGCAAATTGCTGGATTCTGTTCCTTCATTAATCACTGATTTCCTTCACAACCTCAGATAACTTCCCTAATATAGCCCAACCTTCAAGGAAAATGAAAATCTTACCCTCTAGTATGTCACCTGCTTCCTCACCTTGTTTTATTTCTTCCAAAAGGTAACTGGAATTCAAAGGTGTTTGGCTTCTTTGTATGTTACAGGAGTGAGATGAGATATGCAAAAGCCTGGCTTTTTTTGCGCTAGGTTCTGGCTTAACTTGTTTTCCAAAACATGGAGTGGGTTGTTATAAAGGGATAGGGAGGCAGAACCATGTAAGTGACTGAATATATGTTTCTTCACCCCCTAAACCATGACTTTTATCTAGAGATGTTGATATTCACTGTGATGTTTATACTAATGAAGAGGACACTTATTCTTAAGCCATAGGAAAGATGGCTCAAGAGAAATATTTCCTTTATGATTTCTGTTTTTCTACATGTGACATGTGATATCCTCCTCAGAACAACATAATCTCCTTGCTTTTTACTTTTTTCCTCATTTGCCTCAGCTCCTTGTACAGTACCCCTCATAGAGTAGAATCTACTCAGTAGATCCTCAATAAATGCTTGTTGGATTGGGCTAGATTTCCAAAAAGTTGAATTTGAATCTCATTTCTGCTTCACCTTAATATGGGACATTTGTGGGCACCGTCTTGCTTTGCCATGTGTTTCAAGATGGGCCAAAGAAGGTAAGGAGAGCAAGAACACTTGAAATGTAAAGGCAGGGGCCTTTATAGCTTTCTGCCATGTCTGCCCATTGCCCTTTGCTCATGTGATGAGAGCTCTTAAATAGAAGTGACTGTTGAACAGAAATTTGTTTTCCTTCAGTTAATAGTCGCATTGGAGTGGAATGCTCAATATTCTGTTTTTATGCCTCTTTTCCTTCTGTGCATTTATCAGTCACTGTCTGATCAGCACCAAACTGGAAACGGTGTTAAAGCAGAGGACTTTCCATTGTGTGAGTGTGAATTATGTTGTATTACCCCCTTTTAATCCCTCAGAAAAATCAAAGTGCTTATTTAGCTTCATGGTTTTTAAAATTGGGAATTACTGTGAATAACCACCACATGGATCCTTTTTCCTTCCTGGGCAATTAGCTTCCTTTCCCTGAAAGAAATTTGTATCCTTATTTCTCAGTTGGAGTTATTTTAAAGTTGCCTTAATTTGTTTTTCAATGATTATCTTTCTGGATAAACCAAAGAGATTAATGTTGTGAGTTTAAATTATGGTGTTGCTTACAGGTAAATGCTATATTTTGGGGGTCTTTTATAATTTTTTACTAAAACATTTTTGAAATGGTACTATATTTTCAGTAAAGAAATCATTGTTAACTGTGTTAAAGAGAGAGTTATTTGAAATTGATTGCTTGTGATCTGTTTAACAGGTCATTTAAACCTGCCTATGAGCATGGTCATATCATTTTAGAGATCACAATCAATGCTATTTTCTTATTTTGGAAAATTTTTGCCCATCACTCCCTGCTCCTTCCACTTGCATATTATTTTTCCATTTCTGACCTCACTTACATAATAATGACATTCTTTCTCAGGGTTCTACGTTTTATCTGGAAGGAAAAAAGAATTCATAAGTGAGAGAGACAGGATTTTCCACTTCATTGTTTAAACTACACACATTTGGAGAGGCATAAGGATTCTAGGCATAAAGATAAAAGTCAATGGTTTCCAAAACTAAATGCATTCAAATTGTCATAGTGGTGGGATAATCAATTGCTCAATTTGTTTATACTATAGCTTCTAAAGGCCCTCAACCTTAAACCATGAAGGTAATTAAGGAAAATACATAAAGGGTACTGGAAACAACTATCAGATGATTTTTTTTTTTTTTTACTATTTTCATACAAGCTTAATGGCAACTTTCTATCCAAATTAGAAATGCAAAATCTTAACCCGCATAGTAATTGACAGCCACACAAAAAGTTAGGAGAGGACCTGTGTACACATACATAATGCATATATTTTATGTATACACACACTGAAGCCTCACTATAATGCCATTTGTGGGGACCATGCCATTAAAATGCATTGTTAAAAGGTCCTTTCAGTACTTTTAGTAAGAAACAGCCCCTCTTCTTCCCACCTTGGACAAGGCCAAAGATGACACTGTTAGACTGAGTTTTGTGCTATAGCATGCCATATTATAGCAAGGCTCCAGTGTACATACAACTTTATATCACATAAATATGTCTCAGTCTAAAGCTAAACACTGACTAATATCTATAACAGGGAAGAACAATTAGCAAATCAGTGTAGTATTAGTTATGCTTTTCTTGCCAAAGGAAAAAGCATTTGTTTAAGTAAGAGGAAAACTTGGATGAATTGTTACTAATTTTCTATTTTACAACAAGGAATCAAACTAAGCTATTCCCTTACTTTAAAAATAAAAGCAACAAACAATTAACTTTGCAAATATAAATGTAAACAGATTTACAATTCAAAAATTGGCTAATTGTTCTTTCTCATTATGGACCTTAGCTAATGTTTAGTCTGTAGCCATGATATAGCTACTTGTAACAGGTAAAGATCAAATGTGGGCCAGTGTTCACAATAGGAAATGTCAATTAAAATCATTAATTAGGGCTATTTTAACATTGACATCATCAAAACAAATCACATTTCTGTTCAGATGAAAAGATTTTTGTCTTCATTACAATTGTTAGTTTGTCAGTGAATGATAGATAATGTGTCTGAATGTTCACAAATACATTAGAATTTCACATCCCTTATATTTCAAAGCAGGCTTTACTGATCCCTGTATTCAAAGTATAGAATATTAAGTAAAAGAGCAAATCATTACCCTTCAAAACAGAATCATAAACAGAACTCTAATTTATGAATTTGCTAACTGTTCTTCTCTGCTAAAGACAAAACTCCATTTAGTCTTTAGCTATAACATATACATAGTTTAATATACACCTATTATATATGTGTATTACTGTTAGAAAAATACATATTATAACTAAAGAACATGTAAAATAGAGGCACTTTAAATAATCTAAATGTTTGCATTTATGAGCACCACTCATTATTTCCTAGTTCCAGATTTCAATGAGCCCAGTGGAACTGATTCTTCCCTATTTAGAACAGAGGTTATGAAGTGAAGACAAATGGACAACATTTGGGGAACATCAGGTTGACAAATTATGGAAAATCATGGAGTTTTTTCCTGTACTCCACTATATTATACTACTTTCTGAAACTAGAGAACTCAAGTTATAGACTTTCCAAAGATTTCCTAAAAAAGGGGTAATAATCTAGATTAAGCTGATGTCATGCCAACAGTGGAATAAATGCCTTACTGCTCAAATGAACATAAAAAATCACATGACATAAGAGGATGGCAGGGGAGAAGCCAAGAAGTACAACCTGACTGATGTTGTGACCATGTCTACCCAAGGTGATTTGTATTATGGTATGGTGACCTGATTATTTCAACTCTTTTCACAGTTGTTTTGCTGTAGCTAATCAATGTCATTACCAGATGTGAATGGATCAGGTTTTTAAAAAAATATATATACATGTATATGTATATATATATATATACACATACATATACATATATAACCTTTGTATTGGGAAAACATGAGGAAAAAGGCATCTCCTTAATACACTTCATAGAAGGAAAAGGAGGAAATACTGTAAAAGAAAAGAATTTGAGTTCAAAGCTGTCTAAGCCAGCTTTTACTCAAATTTTCTGGTAAATAAGGTTGGTGTCATTTTCTTTGTACCTTCATTATTGGAGAAACAAAATACTGATTCTTAAACACAAAATGGAGTCAGTAATTTAAGGTATTGGTCACTGCAGACAGCTCTCAAAGCCAAAGTTTGTCAGTCAGATTGATGATTTTTCCAAAAGTATGCAACAAGAAATTTGTGTTGGAGTTTTAGAAAAATTTCAGTTAGGAGGGTGGTAGATAGTCTCTTATAAACCTATATTTCCTATTTCATTAGGCATAATATATCAATAGTAGCTTGTAAATACCTTATTTTGTTTTTGTAAAAGTGCTTAAGTGTACATAATACTATTGTGCTGTGTGTATTCTACTTAAATGCAGTGACTAAATCAATAACTAATTATAATTTTGATGAGAGAAGATTGAAAATACCATTTACATGTCATTATTATTGTAAATTTTAATATGACTGAAATACTTTGTAGTATCTGAAACTAACTTTACCAACTCCAGATTCATCATATAAACCAAGAAATACTTGGAAAACCAATTAATTTTTATGGAACTCCACCCCACCTCCAACTGTCCCCTGGGGGTTTTGTTCATTTGTGTGTGTGTGTGTGTGTGTGTGTGTGTTTTGTCATGTTTTCCTTTGAGGGGTTGGTAGCATCTGATTTTGGCCTTCATGATGCAGATTAGGCCAGGGCTTTGGACTCCTTTCCCTCATCCTCAATTAAGGTAATGGGTCCACACCACACCAGGATTTTTAGACCAAAGACCTTGTTCCTAAAAGCAATAACTTTCAATGAATGACATTCTCTATGCACACATTTACCATCACCAGTCAAGTCTTACAGTGCCCTGGATCTCCCCATATGCCCTGTCTGATCTGGAGCACTCCCAAGCCAAATCACATTCATGCGAAAGAGGGTGTCCTCTGGTGAACTTTTAATAAAATGACAGTTAGATACAGAAAAAGTTCTCTTTCTTGATTCTCAGTGCTCATAGGTCATTTAAAAAAATCACTTCTCTGAGCAGCACAAGACAAGAAGAGCTGGTTGACAAAACATTTTTGTTACAAAGGTGTGTCAACCCTGAGCTTGTAGTTAAGAAGTTAAAATCTGTGATTTATATATATAATATATATAAAAATAGATGATCATACTAAGACTAAAAAAGTGAAAGAAATCTCCATGTCAATACTATTACTTTTTTTTTTTATCTTATCTGTTTGTTTTGTAATCGAATGCCCTTGGGATACAGAAACCAACCAACACAAAGGAAGTCTTTATATATGAAAACTCGCATATGGATCCAATTGCTTATCAGTCCATTGAAAGAACTGTCATTTTGGGAGGGTAGTAAGCACAGGAGCAGAAAAACTGAATAAATGTTGGATTCTACTACTGGAGATTATTTTTCAGTCCAAATCTTAGAGGGACGATTTGTCAAGGGTAGTGCAAAGGAGAGGGAACTCCTGTGCCAAGTGGATAACAAAGAGAAAGACTAAATAGCTTAGAAAAATGGTGCTGCTATTGAAATGTATATTGGGCAGGTTGATGTGAATCCTAAATGGCAAGTAATAGGAAATACTGAACTCTTTGTGGTGTTGGTATACTACTAAAGATTATTTTCTAATTGTCAGTTTCAATGCATTCCAACCAATTAGATAGTGTTGGTGGCCAAGAGTGTAAGACATTCACCACTGAGACATAATGTATTTTCACTACGTTTTTTTTCTTAGAAAAAATTCCAAACTTTCTTCCAATTACCATTTTATAGACCTGAATTGCCATAAAGAAGCCCATGTTAGAGGGCTTGGCTGTCAATAAAGAAATGATATCATTTAGGTTCTTTTTTTTTTCTATCTTCCTTTGCCTGTTTGTTAAAAATGCAACAGCCTTGGGATTTTGCCTGATTTTTGAAGAAAGGCTATTTTCTTTTTATCTTGCTCTCCCTTACCACTCCCTCCTTGCCCCCCCTTTTTTTGAAAGGAAATAAAAACCCCACAATGTGAGATCCCTTTACTTCTGCAGCATAGAAGCAAATGAAGGTAAGAAAGTCCCTTGGTAAGAAAGATTTGAGTAAGAATTCACTCAAGAATAGACATGGTCTCCACAGACAGCTGAAGGAAATAGGAAGCGGTTCAGTCTGGCACCCGGTACTCTTTGGGAAAACAAAAAGGGAAGCAGATTGTAGTACTGCTCTCTTCTCATAGAAAACTGTAAGTATTGTGTCATGGTCCATTGTCCAATAATGTAAGAAAAAGAAGAAGTTGGCTGTTCATATAGCTAAAATTCAGTTTATCTGACCAAAATCCAGGATTATCTCCACTGTCTCTGCAGTAAGAGGACAATGAAGAGGATAGACCACGTGAGGAGTGAGGAGCTGAGCTTGTCGGCAGAAGAGTTCACTTCTCTCCTATCTGAATCGACAGGGGGTGCTTCAGTGGTGACGAAATCAAACTCAGTTGGGCAGATGTCATCCATACAGCCACTGCCACTGCCCGAGCCACTGGTTTCATCACCTATTGCAGAGAGAAGGAGAAAATGTCATGCTGAAAAAACAAAGGATGAAACAAAACAGAACATTAAAAAACCAAAACAAAACCAAAATGAATTCTTTGAGTCCTTTCCTCAAATTTGTGTGCTATTAACAAATGTTTTACTTAGCTCGACTATTTGTGCATTCTGAGACTGCTGAGATGTAGTATTAACTTCTATCCCAGGTGTGGTGAGTGTCATAACACTATTGTACATTATAATTGCTTACCGTTTGTGAATGTGTATGTGTGTGTGTGTGTGTGTGTGTGTGTGTGTGTGTGTGTGTGTGTGTGGTGTTTCTACTCCAAACCCCACAAACTAATTTCTATTTAACAAATATTTATTAAGTGCTGACTATGAAGCAGCTAGATGGCATGAGCTCTGGGCCTGGCCTGGAGTCAAGAAGACCTGAATTCAAATGTGGCCTTGGCTACTTCTTAGCTGTGTGATCCTGGACAAGTCACTTAACCTGTTTGTTTCAGCTTCCTTATCTGTAAAATGGGGATAATAATAGCACCAACCTCGCAGGGTATTGTGAGGACCAAAGGATATAAAAACTGTAAAATGCTTAGCATAGTTATAATGTTATAAATGTGAGTTATTATTAATATTATTATTATGTGTATTATTATGTGTCAGGCACTATGCTCAGTGGTGAGATAAAAAAAATGAAACTATATCTTTCTTCCTCTTTTTTCCTATTTCCTCCCTGTTCTCTTCTCACTCTCTTTTTTTTTCTTTCCCCTTTGCCCTTTTCCCTGGCATATATTTACTTTTTGGCACAAAGCCCTTGGTATTGAAAAGGTTGCTGATTTCTGTTCAAATCTCTGTCCCTGAATCATAGACTCTGGGTAAGCTACCAAGCTGGCATTGACCTTTTTTTTTAAGGTCACCTAATGCTGAATGGTTAGTAAGTGATTAGCATTGTCTAGAAGTCTAGGCAGGAAAGTGTCCTTTCTCTAGAAGACAGTGGCAATGGTGAACATCTCTCTCCATTCTTTTAGTCCATGGCACCAAGCTGAAGAGTATTCTTTGCTCCCCTAGCCTGTCGTGGCATGCACTAGACCTTTGTACAGACAGAGGAGGTAGCTGAGTTGGTCACACGAGGAGAGGTGGACCATCGGAAAAGAAAGAAGCTTAAATCATCTGAGTTGTGGTGACCAGAACATGTTACCTTGATCAATAAGAGAGAAAAGAGGCATTGCAGCACCTGTGTGAGTTTTAAGTAAATGACTTATAACTCCTACTTTTGTCCTGGGTAGTAGTGGGAATCTTTCTTTGTTTCTTTCATTCTTTTTCTCTTTGTCTCTGTCTCTGTCTTCCTTCCTTCCTTCCTTCCTTCCTTTCGCAAATTAATTTTCTACAGTCTTTTTCTTGGAGCTCAGGAGACTGAAGAGAATTTTTTTTAAAGGACTACAAATAGAGCTGGGAGTTTGTTTTGGGAGTGGGAGCTGGGGAATGTCTAGAATGACATTTTTTAAATTTTATGATACAATCAGCTTCTTGATTTTACTCTCTTTTTACTAATTTAGTTGAGTTGTTTTTTTTAAGCCATGACTTTAAATTTTGAGTGCTGGAAAGAATAGGTAGGATTTTGAAGGCACAAGAGTTGTCAGTGGGTGGGAGCTGAGCCAATGAGTGACAAGTTATGATTGACAGTTACAATTAGATAAAAGGCCAGGAATATAGCTGTTAGGGACAAAGTGCTGGTGATTGACAGTCATCTGTTCCAAGTCCTCTTATAGGCAGAGGCAAAGCTGGTCCCTGTAGAATGACTGTATAGCATACCTGTTACATTAACACGTACACAAAACACACACGCACATACACACACACACACACACACACCCCTCTTCTTCTTAACAGACATCATCTTGTCACAAAGGAATGGTGTGAGAAGGTATTTAAAGGAAACATGGGAAGGAAAAACAGACATTATACGAACCCATCATATCTTTGATGGGAAAGAAACAGTCGGGTGAAGAAGCAAATACTTCCCAGACGAGGGAATAACTTTTCTTTCAATGAACAAAATTGTTCGGTAAGCCCCATCTGTTTCTGTCTTTGGAGCACTAGCCTCATCCTTTGTCTTGGATGATCTCTTTACCAGCTTCCTATTGTGTGCCCGTTGGCTTTGTCTTTCACAACCCACCCTTTTCAATTCCATACCCCCAGTCAGCAACTCCTTCACCCAACATCTCTACTTCCTCAGTTCTACATTAACCTTCTTCCAGTTTCTCATTTTCCACTTCCCTGATAGACCCTGCCTTCTCTCTTTGATTGCATGCCCAATGGACAGAATGAACTGCTGTCCTCTGCCTGATCTGATGAGGTTAACTCTCTGGGCTGTTTCTGAGGTAATGTCACAATCTCCTTAGCTAGCAGCTGCTAATAGCTACACTCAAGTATGGAATATTGGTTAGGCTCAGAGGGTCATAATTTTTGGGCCTCCCAGGTAATGTACTTCAACCTCTTCACTTTACGGCTGAGGAAATTGAACTTTCCTTTCCTGCCCCTAATATGTTTCAAATGGTCTATTGGGAGAAAATCACGTTTCTTTGAACTGAACGTTTAAATATTAGATCAGATCATTTGAAAACACTGTCCTGCGTCCTTAACATTTATTCTGGTTTATCATTACTGATCCATGTGATGGTTAAAAGAGCACATTAATTAAATTTGGAGATGCTAAATTGATAGGGGAATTGTTTTGAAGACTAGTATGGGCATGAAGTATTATAACCTTTACAGAGCTATTATTAAAAGAGATTCAGAATATTAAAAAAATTTAGCAGCAAATAATGAAAGGAGATTCCAGTTAGAAAAAAAAATAGCCACATTTCTTTGAGAAAACTAATCATGGATACAGGTATTCAAGGGGGCAAGAATAAGTGATAAAACAGAAATGTCAAAAGCAACAAGGGTTATAATAGCTATAAAACGTGATAATGGTTTTGAGCTTGAGATAGAAGCCAAAACAGGCAATGCTATTTAGAGCTGTGCATCTAAGTGCATCAGGTCATATCCTTTTTGCAAACAGGTCTCGAGAGATAAAACCAAGAACATGGCAATCTTGTCTCAGCTCGTAAATACCAGAAAGAAATAGCAAGCACACTTGCAATGAGTTGAGATAAAAGTCATATAAATGCAACAGTCCTTAAGTTACTGATGTTCAGTGAAAGCTCTTATCTAGAACTTTGTCCATTGGGAGAAGGAAAGCCCAAGATCTAGAAACCAGAATTTCTGACACGTCTTTACAAATCTCCCAACTAGCACCTGGCACTCTGTAGGAGCTAAACTAGATTAATAGGGTAGAATTTGCTTGAGACCTGTTATTTACTATTCCTGTTAGGTGGTGGTCAGGGAAGACAGGTTTAGAGCTCTGCCTTTTAAGATTTTACCAAAGTGGCAATTTATAGGTATAAATCTCTACCCCTTGATTTGTGGGAGAATAAGGGAAAGATTAGAGGTATGGCTCCTAACGTGAATGAAATCTTAGTTAACTGGAATTTTTATATGACATTTCCCATTTCCTTGACATGCCAGACAATGTAACTTTGGGGTTCATATTGTGACTCTGCTAATTACTATTTTGGGGAAGTTAATCACTTGTGGGACTGCATTTGGGAAGCCATTTAGCCTTTCTAAGCCTCAATTTCTTTATTAATGTTTAACTCAACTACGTAATTAATCAAAACTTCATTGCTCAGATGTAGAGACAGAGAGTATTTGTGATCAATTAATTTCACTTTTAATACCTTAAGTTAACCATGATTGCTAGTGCTTTCACTGTGAAATTAACTACAATTCACCACGTGCCTTTATTGTATATATGTAACTATTTGCATGTTGTTTCTCCCACTAAAAGATTAGTTCCTTGAAGGTAGAGATTGTTTTTGCCTTTCTTTGTATCCCTGGCACTCAATGCAGTGCCTGGCACATAGTCAGACCTTAAAGATTTTTTTTTCCCTAGAAGTAGTAGGATGATCGTGAGAAGAGTGAAATTCAGGTTTATTATAGCAGAGTCCCCCTCCTCCCCCCACCATAGTTACAAATTCTCTCAGATGGCAAAATATCCTGCCTATAAAAGTGTAATTGTTGGAGTTATTTAAAATTATACTGAATAAAGCACTAAATATATATTGCAATGGAAATGTTTCACATAATTGTACACGTATAACCTATATCTTAATGCTTATTGTTTCAGGCAGGGGAGAGAGGAAAGAGGGATAGAATTTGGAACTCAAAACTTTGAATAAAAATGTTAAAATTTGGAAAAAATGTATTGCAGGAGACAACTCTGTAGGATGATAACTAAGAGGGATATGACTTAATAACTTCCATCTGTAATTTGTTTCTTTCTATCTCATTAATTCTCACATGCAAGTATAATCTTTTGCTTCGGTGACCAAATTACAGAGTCACCGTTAACAAGAGTACATCTAATGTTCAAGAGATAGTTATATGATTACTTGTTCTTTTTAGTGGCCCAAACCTTTCCAAAAGATCTTTTCTCTGTACATCTGATAACATCTTGAAACTTCCTGATTTCTCTTATGGAAGTGAATGTTGAAAACTAAAAAAGAAATAAATGAACTAATTAATTAATTAACTAATTCAGACTGGTTTCAGTCTGAAAGTGTTTTCTAGCAAGTGTCTGTCCAAATATTTTGAACATTTCTGATGCAGGGGTAGCTAGATGGCACAGTGGATAGAGCACCAGCCCTGGAGTCAGGAGGACCTGAGTTCAAATCTGGTTTCAGATACTTACTAGCTTGTGACCCTGTGGAAATCACTTAACCCCAATTGCCTCCCCAAAACAGCAACCAAAAAACCATTTTTTTTTTTGCAAAATTTTCAATCTTAAACCACAAAGTTGATATGTGACTCTGTCCAAAGCTCAAAGGCTACTTCTCAGTTCACAGAAGTGAATATATAAAGGTACATATTTCATAAATATATAAATGGTACATATTTCTAGTCAAGAAAAATTATGTAGTGATTTTGAAATATGATCTCATTTTAATCATAAGGTATCCACGAGGGTCACCAAATTGGATTTTTAATTAAGCTGATTGCTTACTTGTGTCTTGGAAATTCACATCATTTCCATTGTACGCATTTTTCAACTTGTTGGTCATTACTCGCAGGGCCATGATCTGTTGTCTTATGAAAGTGTCTGGTCTAGTGATGTCTACATCGACTTCTGGATTATTGATCTGATTGGTCAGCCCATCATTCATGATCTCAGGCAAGTATCTATAAGGTTGAAAGGAGATAAAAATTATTAGAAAAGATTCGCTTCAAAACAGGATTGCTTTCATATATAATAATAACCCAAAACAAAGCAAATGAGCTCATTAGGCACAGGTTCCAGGAAAACTATCCAGCAACAAACATGCTTATTCTATTAGGTAAATAAAATTTTTAAAAGAGGAAATTGTGGCTAAAATAATGACTCTATCATACAAGTACTTACACTTCATTATTATGTCATTAATATCTATGAATGAAGGATGAAATGGAGAATTATGGAAATTAAATAGCCTGTAAACATTTTACTCATTGATTAGATAGTTCTAGTGAATGGATTTTAGTTGCCTGGATTAAATAATCTAGTTTGGATAACAGCTTGAATTCTCTTCTTACTTTTGAATGTGTAGATTGGGCCTACAAAACAGTAATGGTATAACCTTGAGGTCCTCCTTGAATCAGAACCAATTTTAGGAGCGAAAGACTGTTTTAGGAAGTCCTAGAACTGGGGTTCTTAACCTTTTTTGTGTCATGGGTCTCTTTGACAGTCTATTGAAGTTTATGAACCCCTTTTCAGAATAATGTTTTTAAATGCATGAAAGATAAAAATAAAACACAAAGGAAACCAATTATATTGAAATATAGTTATTAAAATAAAAAAACCCCAAGAAGTTCACAGATCCCAGGCTAAGAATCTCTGACCCAGAAGGAGTTTTAATCTTTAAAAGATTGAAGTTGATATTACTTAGGGTTTTGACAAAAACTTGAGAAAAAAACTAACACAAGTGAGATCAGTGGAATAAAATTGTATTACTTTCAATTCAGTGAAATTCAAAAAGCATTTGTTAAGCAACTACTAAAAGTACTCAGGATACAAAGACAATGAAAAATAGTGCCTGTCTTCTTTTTCTTTCCTTAAGAACAATCTTTGTTATAAGTGATGGCTCTCTGGGAAGGCAAAGGGGAAGACTACAGGGGGAAATCTAAGTAATGTAAATACATACATATACACACACACGTACATACATACATTAATTAATGATTTTTATTTTTCTAGTTATATATAATCACGTCATTCGATACAGGACTGATAATTTTTAGAATTGGTATACATATAATATATGGCACTTCAAGAAAGTTCTCTAAAGGAATATTTAGCTAATTAGTTTTAGGAGGTTCAATCAATTTTCAGAGTCTAATCCAATCTCTCTACAAACTCTTCAATGTGCCATTAGTAGATGAAATTTAGTCATCTACCTTTTCAGTCTTTTTCTAGGTTGCCTGCATATACCTTCTTGATCAAAACTAATAATTAATCTATTAAAACATAACTGATTTGTGAAGCTTCTGTTTCCTCTTTTTCTCTCTGACCTCTCCTTCCTCTAATATGATCTTTTAAATGTATCTTTCAAAATATCTTGTAGAAAAGATTTAATGATAATACAAATTAGTATTTACACAATACTTTATAGCTTGCAAAGTGCTTTACATACTATCTCATTTGAGCCTCATAACAACCCTGGGAGGTAGGAGCTATTATTATTATCCCCATTTTACAGATGAGAAACCTGAGACTAAGGGAGGCTAAGTGACTTGCCTAGGGTCATATAGCTAAGTTGAGGCAGAATTTGAGCCTAAGTGGCTTCTTTACATCCCTTTAAGCTAATGACTTTGATTGTCCCAGGTCTTCTCATTTTAAGATCCCTCCAATCCTCAGGTCTTTTTGTTTCTCATAACTTTCTATTCCAGTGTACTCCATTTGTGGCCCTTCTTGCCACCTTACTACCTTGTTCTCTGACAATGATGCTAGTTCTCTCCTCTTCAGGTATCATCTTCAGGTCTTCAAGTCTTTCATATATTTCTGGAGTTACTTTCATTGTGGTTTTTTTTTTAATACCTTTTCCCCTTATTTCTCACTCTGATCCATAAGATTTTTCCTACAGTATAATTATGTTGGAAATTATTCTTCTTAGCATAGGCTACCCATTGTCATCTTCCTGATTCCTCCAGGAAACCTCCTTTTTTCAAGTCTTTCAGTGATGGTAATAGATCCTAGGCATCAACTTCCAAACTAGGAGATGGAAAAAACACACAAGGAATCTTGCAGTTTATTTTTAAGTCAGGGTGTTGGATTATGTGAATGAAATGTTTGTGTCTGAATTGTTTCATCTGACTTAAATCAAAGGTCCTCTGAGCAGGCCCCATGTATCCATTTATATCCTGAAAAATCCCAACCACAATCAGCATTCACCAAATAATCAATCAAGAAACACACAGAGCACAATGTAAATTTTTCCCCCAAGAAGTTTGCCTTTCAAAAATATCCCCATAAAAAAGTCACAGAAGCACATCTCTCTGTTTTTGCAATAGGGCACTAACTTCTGTTCTGTTTCAGCTCTCTTGGTATGTAAACTCAGCTCGTAATCTAATCTGCAGATTAGATCTCACGGAACCTCAAATAGCTGATTTGAAGGCAAAACCTTGTTGGGATGCATCAGTGATTCAGATGTCTAGGAAAAGGACGGAAATGGTGTTCATGAGATCCCCAATTCTAAGGACTTAAGGATCTGCCCCCACTTTGGGTTCAAGGATAACAACTCTGAAGGAATCAATGAACACTACAGAAATAGGCTTTCGTTAGAATCTGAACTCCTTTTATATAATATGAAGAAGATGGCATCCGATTATCTGTTGGTTGAACTAATATAATGTGTCAGACTTCCTGCAATCTGCCTTCACACAATAGTGAGTATCAGAACCTAGTGGAACAAAGGCAAGGATTCCAAAAGGAACAAAAATCAGTCAAGGACATGAAGCTTCACCCTTTGCTGAAACAACAGTTCTTCAAAGGACGGAAGGTGACAGTTGGTTCTGGTGTTACTGCCTGATGTTTTAGCAAAGGATTACTGCAGATGTACCTGTTTGAGTCAGATGAGGACTTCGTTTTTTGTTTTCTTTTTGTACCCAGCACTCACTGCCCTGCCAGCTAAGACTCGTTTATCAGAAGCTGGCTACAATAGCTTACATGGGAATTCTTCCCCTGGGAGCCTAAACATCCAGGAGCAATAAGAGACTGCCAAGAATGCCTGGCCTCTAACTGTGCCTGCTGAAGCTTCCCTGGTTACAATGAAAACAAGGAACAATGCATCAGTGTCCTTAAAAACCTTTCCTCCTCCCTGTGTATTTAAAGGGTAACTTTGAAGACAATATAGAACTTTAAATCTGAAAAAGAAGGGAAATTACCACTTTGTCAATTACCAGAGGTAAGAACTGAGAATAAATCCACAGAGCTGTCTAAAAGTGGGAGATGGAGCCCGTAGGGTCTGTGAAAGCCCTTGACAGAACTTGGATTTCACAAACGAACTCTTTTTATGATCTGCGAGGCTCAGGAGGCCCCTCACATCTCTACTACTCACCCACAAGGAGAAAGTCATTTCTGAACTTGCAACTTTGATACCTTTCAGTTGCAAGTCACCAATAGGGACTTTATCCCATCTGTGCAGCATCATCTGACCTTGAGAGGACATTGTCCACAGGTGGCAAGGGAGAGAGGATTGGCTTGGTTTTGATACTTAGGGGGTCACTTTTGAAGCCATATCTGCCTAGAGAAGGGAGACACTCAAAAGAAATGACAAACTGAAACGCAAAAACTGAGAAAAGTCTCTGTCTCACTTTCCTCTTGGGATTCCTACTTCTTAATGAGCTTTCACTATATATGATTTGTGAAGGGGAAATACCAAAGATTTGGAAACATGGCTGACGTTTTTGATAAAGGGCCTTCTGCTTTGTAAAGAGCTTGTTGGAGGTGGGAGTGGGTTATATCTTGATCCATGCCTTGCATACCTTTTGCTTTTTCTTATCCAGTTTTAATTATAGTCTTTCCCCTTTCCTTGATCATGTAGAAACATTGCTGCTGAATACTAAGGTAGAGGGGGTGGGTGGGAGTGTAGGAAGAGCTAATATCTGAATCTTTATGGAACAACACTGATTGTCAAGGTCAGCCCCAGGGGCATAAAAAAGCATGCCTGGGCTCCAACCATTTACTTCATTGGCATCTTTCTAACTAGGAATTTTTGCACCAAGTGTATACTGGACCTGAAGCAAGTAGCACATAGCAAACATCCAGCTGAGGCGGTCAGCCCACTGTGAAGGAAAGACAAAGAATGACACAAAACTGATGTAGGTGAGGTTTCCATGGAGGTGAGGGGAAGGGAGAGAAGGTACTCCAATTTGACATCTATTAATTCCCCATATTAACTATTTATGCTAACTAGATGCCATGTTATTATTGTTATTTAGTTATTTCAGTTGTGTTTGACTCTTTGTGACCTCATCTGGAGTTTTCTTGGCAAAGATAATGGTATGCCATTTCCTTCTCTAGCTCCTTTTACAAATGAGGAAACTAAGGCAAACAGGGTTAAGTGAGTTACCCAGGGTGACATAGCTAGTAAGCGTCTGAGGCCAGATGAGTCTTCCTGATTCCAGTCCTGGGTGCTCTATCCACTGATCCACCTAGCTGCCCTTAAATATATGCTAAGCTCTGCCTTCTCCCATGCCACCAAAGGACTATAATTGTTGCTAGCCATGTCTAAATTTAGGATCGGGGGACAAGGCCTTAATTTATCCATCCTAGCTATAGCTCTGTCCACTAACCTAATATAATACTTAAAATTCCTACCATCAGAATCTATCCTTTCATTTAAGGTTCTATTTCCAGAAAGCCCCTAATGAAATGCAACTATGATACCTGGGAGTGCTAGCATGCTAAGTGAGCACTGATCTCTTATGAGTGTATTAGTACCAATTAATCATTAAAACTTAAAGAAGCAAATCCTGAGGGAATAAGCTGTGAGACCCACACATTTTAATGGCTATTGGAAACTGATCAAGGTTTGGTACCAGGCCAGGCCAAGCTAGGTGGTGTGTGATTGTGTTATATGAGAATTGGTTAAAGAAGCTAAAGATGATTGGGCTGCAGAAGCCCTGGGGGTGGGGGTGAGGAGTGG